GGAATCTAACCTTATAGCTTATATCTGCTATACTTAGGAATGAATGCATTCTATCTGAATGCCATTATGTTCATATTACACATTCTCAAACCTCACTCGTGGCTTCATTTTCGCATTTAATTCAACTCCCAATCTCATTCGAGACCAACAATAACCAAATAAGCACATTACATATGTAAAAACATGAATCATTTTTTAACCCGACAGGGACTTCAACCTAGAACTTATAACTTCTAAGTCAAGGCGCTACCAACTGCACCACAAAAGGTTAAAAAGAATCCAACCTTATAGCTTATATCTGCTATACTTAGGAATGAACGCATTCTATCTGAATGCCACTGTGTTCATATTACAGATTCCCCAACCTCACTCGTGGCTTCATTTTCTCATTTAATTCAACTCCCAATATCATTCGGGACCAACAATACCAAATAAGCACATTACATATGTGATAAGATGAATCATTTTTTATTCCGACCAGGACTTGAACCTAGGACTTATAATCACTAAGTCAAGGCGCTACCAACTACACCACAGAAGGTTAAAAAGAATCCAACCTTATAGCTTATATCTGCTATACTTAGGAATGAATGCATTCTATCTGAATGCCACTGTGTTCATATTACAGAATCCCCAACCTCACTCGTGGCTTCATTTTTGCATTTAATTCAACTCCCAATCTCATTCGGGACCTACAATAACCAAATAAGCACTTTACATATGTTAAAACATGAATAATTATTTACCCCAAAATGGACTTGAACCTAATACTTATAATTACTAAGTCAAAGCGCTACCAACCACACCACAGAAGGTTAAAAGGAATCCAACCTTATAGCTTATATCTGCTATACTTAGGAATGAATGCATTCTATCTGAATGCCACTATGTTCATATGACAGATATCCCGATTTCACTCATGGCTTCATTTTCGCATTTAATTCAACTCCCAATCTCATTTGGGACCAACAATAACCAAATAAGCACATTACATATGTGAAAACATGAGTCATTTTTACCCCGACCGGGACTTGAACCTAGGACTTATAATTACTAAGTCAAGGCGCTACCATCTACACCACAGAAGGTTAAAAGGAATCCAACCTTATAGCTTATATCTGCTATACATAGGAATGAACGCATTCTATCTGAATGCCACTATGTTCATATAACACATTCCCAACCTCACTCGTGGCTACATTTTCGCATTTAATTCAACTCCCAATCTCATTCGGGACCAACAATAACCAAATAAGCACATTACATATGAGAAAACATGAATCATTATTTACCCTGACCGGGACTTGAACCTAGAACTTATAATTACTAAGTCAAGGTGCTACCAACTACACCATAAAAGGTGAAATGGAATCCAGCTTTATAGCTTTTATCTGCTATACTTAGGAATGAACGCATTCTATCTGAATGCCACTATGTTCATATTACAGATATCCCAATCTCACTCGTGGCTTCATTTTCGCATTTAATTCAACACCCAATCTCATTCGGGACCAACAATAACCAAATAAGCACATTACATATGTGAAAACATGAATCATTTTTTACCCCAACCGGGACTTGAACCTAGGACTTATGTTTTCACATATTGATGCGCTTATTTGGTTATATTTTGCATTCCTATTCCCATTTTCTCTAGACATATATAATGTTCCTTTCTATAAATACTGTATGCATACATACATATATACATATATGCATACATACATACACATATACATACATACCTACTTACATACATACATACATACATACACACACACACACTTATTCAGTACACAAGAATTCAGTATCTCTTAAACTTATCCTTGTGTTTTTGAGTGAATAAGACTACAGTGAGTTAATCATACATAATTTCCCTAAATAAGAAATCCTGCAGAGTATTGTGAGTAAAAAATTTATATTTGTTGTATGACGAGACTGTCCAAATATTAAAGGAAAAAATTGAGAACATTTTCGTGAGGGGAAAGAAAAGAAGCTGCCCTGCTCTGTCTTGAAGGAACCTTAGAAGAGTTGCCAGAGGTGAAGCCATCACATCACATTACCTAATTTTTTGTGTAAATTGGGGAGAGCTATTAAGCCGTTCACCTGATCCTGTGGTTCCATATATTGTTAAAATCAGTATCCTTCCCATTTTTATTAATTTGATAGCTAGTTTGAAACACGAAATAATTGAATAATTAAATAAATACCAAAAATACACCTGTCAACAGAACTGAGTTAAGTTGCCAATGACGTGGAGGTTATAGCTATTCCACCGTAAGCCACCACTGACGTGGAGGTTTTGGACCTCCACTTGAACTCACACTTTGTAAGATGACTGGGCTACCTCACCGCTTGTCACCACTGACGTAGTGCTTTTATTATTATCTCACCGAGCGTCACACCTGACATATTGGTTTTGTTTATCCCATCTAATGACACCACTGACGTAGGGCTTTTCCTCCTACGTATATTTACTTTAATTATTATGGTAGCGTGG